GCACTTACGATGGCCGGAGATTCTCGCGCGATCTCCGATACCCGGAGTGTCTCCTGCGACGGCTAGCACATGAAGAGGTTCGTTTCCTCACGCGCCCCGCCTCCTACTTGGCTAACATGACTGCTAAATTGTATGACTGACTGTAGAACCCAAAAGCATACTGTTCCGCCCGGTCAAGTTACTCCTGAAGTTACGACCTCATAGAAAAGTGGCGTGAAACAACACTTTTAATGTTTTTCGGCTTACTCACGTAATTATTCGACGAGGAACTCAACTCGTAGCAGTGCGACAGTCGCAGCGTCGCGGAATGCTGCTGATAAATATGAGCCTCTAGTACGGCTTGAAACTAGTCGAGTTCCTCGTCAAATAATTACGTGAGTAATCCGAAAAATATTATATTTAATTTAGTATATCTAACTCATGTTTATTTGCTTGCAACACCATCTAGGAAAATGTTTAATTCCTTTTTCCTGTGAGGAAGGTTGTCTAAAAATGATGACGTTACCAAACAGCGCTTTAGGCATCCCCTCTCATTACCAGACAGAAGTTATTTGAAAAAAATGTACAGTTTCAACTTGATAATTCAGTAGGTTGATGATTATGTGTACATTATATACCACCAAACGTTAATGTTATTTAAATTTAAATTATATTTATTTAATCCCCACTTCAATACGAATCCTAGTTTATGTGTGGTAACGTCTTGGGTCTTGTCGTTTGTCCAACTCGGGTACGAACTAGACACATCTTTTAATATTCATAAGGTCTGTTCATATTTAAAGAATACCAGGTTATGAATCAATATCTATTTTATTGAGCCCTTAATTCATTATGTCTTTTATATCGTAATCGTTTCTGTAAAAAAAAATACGTGTGTAATGTTTCAAAATAATCTACCAGACGGACATTAAAATATAAATTAGATTTCGACTTCGTTTCGACCTTATTAATTCACTAAGAATCAAGTAGAGGATGCTGTTTTAAGAGAGGTATGTCAGTAAGAACCTGACACTCATCTTGTCTCACCCAAGGCGAGAGAAGTCGTTGGATGATTTTCCCCTTCAAACAAGGGTTCTTTAAAGTTATAAAGGCCGTAATTTGCACCTTCGGGGTTTGTATTTAAAATATTTCCGCCTGAATTCCCAAAAGCGAGATTTTTGTTTCATCGATATTAAATACCTCTTATGTCTTATTTATACGGGACGTATTTATGTTCATTAACTTCATCAACGATGACGTAATAGGAAATTTTGAATACATCTCTATTGTCCTCAAACTGCGTTTCCAAACATTTATAATTATGGACCTTAAAACGAAAGTAGAATGGTTTGTTTTTCGTTATTGTGCTATTGAAGTCGTTGACCATTCTTTTTCGAAATTCTTGTTTTGACAGTCTTTGGCTAGACCGGATGGTATCGTTTCGGCTCGCGCTTCTTCTTGTGGTGTCGATCCAAGAAAAACGTCTTCCGCGTTGTGTGTTTAAAAGTGTATTTTATCTTCGTTAATTATGTTACAATAAGCAAACTGTGCATATCTGGATATTCTGGTAATTATGCGGAACATCGCGAAACTCAACTGCCTATTTACGGCTACGCAGGTTTTCTATAGTTATTTTCTTAAATCTTACTTTACTCCTACCAGTTAGTTAAATTTCAAAATTCTCATCCAAGTTTCCTTCATTTTAATTTCACATATTTTGATACATAATTGAATTGCTGTATTTTTTTACAATGCTATCCGTCATCTAGATATAATTCATCAACTTGTATGTAAACCCCCACAAAACATATAATGCCTGCCCTGTCTCTCGATATTTGCAAATATTTGATTCCCATCACGAGAGACGCCATGCTCATTGAAATAAGTTCTATCAACCCTCTGTTCAAACCGGTTAGTAAAAGTACCTAATTTATTAAATCCATCCAGCCGTTCAAGGGCTTTGAGTGCAGTACGGGGGTAAACAGAGCCGAGTTTGCCGTCGGCTGCGGCGTCCTGTCATTTGATCTACTATTATTAACCTGTACAAATGCGAAACACCTCTAGTATTACAAGATCTTTCTTCTGATTTATGGATTAAATTACTAGTATATTTCAAAACTATAATTTGTAAATACACTTTAATTCGTGGTATGGAGTTTGTGTCAAAATTCTAGGGGGGCTCACTCTTGAATCTAATTCCGATCGATCGACATTGACATTGTGAAATTTCGTACTCTTGAGTTGCAACACTAGCGCCCATTGAATCCGTATTGCGTGGATATTTAATGAACTAAATAGTATTGAGTTTGGCTTCATATTCCGTACTCTTAATGCTATTCGAACAGGTACGATTAGGGCTGTATAGTTTTGACATTGAATAATTATTGAGATTTTATTGTATTGAAATTGCATTGATATTATGATTGGTTTCAAGAGTTAGTACCCAGATCGGTCCGGGTGTTTAGGATTACTATCAGTTATTAATTTCGGCCGTTCGAGATTTCAAAAGGAATATTTTCAAGACGTCTCACGTGCCTACTAAGCTTCTCCCAAAATTTGTTGATTTCCGATCAGCTTATGATTTTTTTCAAACAATAGTGTAAGATGTGATTTTCTTACACACTTTTCTTAATTAAATACCTAGCAGTTTTAAGTGTTGAAAGTGTATATTATCTTAAGGCTGTTTGCCTAATCGATATTGAATGAAATATTGCTTATTATTCATTCAATTTAGGTATGTATTTCAAAAAATCTTTACCTAAATACATTTTTACCAAACATACAAATTAAGTCTGTTCCCACCTTTGCACGGAACATCAAAGCTTTCATTTAGTCGACCCTCGTGCTATTTTAACGAAGGGCTTATTATTTTGAAGGGCAAATCGGGATTTATTAAAAGCAGCTACGTATGTATGAGTGGTCACTAAGGGAAACTGCCTTGCAACCTAATCATAGCCAAGCCGAAAAGCATACCAAGTTTTACGAAGGGGAGACTTAATGGGGTTCGGACAGATGGCTGCGAATCAATAGCCGAGACCAACACACGTTAATTTAATGAACTCGTCGCGAATATCTTGTTTTCGCTTTTTAAACGACTTCAAAAAAGACAGGAGGATCCATGTGTGCCTGTATGTAGTTTTTATGTATGCCCATTAAATAAAGTCTCCTATTTGTTTTTGTACTAAGTAAGGTAGGAAGTTAGGTGGTCTCATTCCCATTGGCAACAAGTCAAGATCTGATAATGGAATCCTAGAAAAAAGAGGGCAACCCTCAAATGTTATGGCTATTAACAATGGTTTTCGCATATTTTCTTAGACTATTAAGACATGTATAGTATGAATGGTCATAATAATCATCCCAAAATAGGGGTATCCCTAGGACTTGTATAAGTCCTTAATGGTTAGAAGTTTACTTAATATTATAAATACGGAAGTTTGTGTGGATGTTTGTATGTTTGTTACCCAATCACGTGACGGCTGAACGGATTGGGATGAAATTATTTATTATTGATTAGTATTTTAAAAAAAATTGGAATAGATAAATTATAATCTGGGATAACACGAGTGTACATGGATCGATATATGTAGGTACGTTACTATTCTTTGAACGGCTTTAACACCGACTTCCAACTTATCAGTCTGAATAATTGTAGATATCTTTACTTGAGGTTTTCTTATTTTGTTTATGATACGTAGTTTATTTTATATTTACATAGGTACATAGGTATAGGATCCGGTTTCGGCAATAGGGTCACCTCCTATTACATGGGACTCATAAAATAAAATAGTGAAAAGTGGGTGTTACATGATACAGAGGCATTACGTACCGTAATGTGCACCTCTGGTACCCCTTTGGGAGATAAAAGGCGTGATGTTATGTTTTCGGCAATACCATAAGCTATTGGGTACATACTCCAACCCAGCAATTAACTGGTCATTTAAATTAGAACTTTACATCTTATGTGTCACATAATTCATAACCTCAATATAAGCTGTAACCGCGTCTAACCTTTTTGTATTGTTTCCAAAGCAAAAAGCGCCATACCGGAGCCGTGCTTATTAAGTGTGTTATGACTTAGTCTGGAGTGCTATCCTTAATGTCATAGTCAGTTCGTTACAACAAAAATTGCACGTTTGGCAAAATGCCTTAATATGTTCATAGATCTTAGTAGTTTAGGGTTTATTGTCCTGCAGATTGAAGACAATTTCAGTATCTTTAATTTGTATTCCTACAGAATTTATAGGCTGTGCATGATGTGTTAATATCTGATGTTTTAAGTGTAACTATTTATGAGCGATTTGCTGTAATTTTCGTTTGATATACGATTTTAGTATACGAAGATTCTCATTTCGTGTTCGATTACAAAAAATGTTTTCCAATCTGCGATCACGTGTCGCTCACACTGTACAGATAATTTCCCCCTCCTGTGTCGATGTGTGCGTGCGATGTACTCATGCGACATGGAGTACTCACAAATGATAGACGCACGGAAAATTAATCCATATACGAGGGCGACCAAACAATAATACCTATGCTGCCCAACCGAGTACTCTTTTTAATAACCTTTTGTGTTAATAATCTGATCGTGCGCATCAAATTATGTATGCCTTAATAAGTCCTAATAACTACGTACTTTATAATCCGAAGCAGGCGCGTGTTGGGGAGGGTAATACACATAGGGTATTCCAGTATTCTATTATTACTGCTGCAATGGGTCATTCGTTACAAAGTCCATTGAAACAGACTCTTTTCAAAGGGGTTATAGAGGTCGGTTTCATGTGCCATTGATAAGTAGGTACCTATAGAAAAAAAAAACAATGTAGGCGAAATCAAAAAAGAGAAATATTCTGAAGTAAAATTGTTACGTTTTCTCAATAATTCAGAATCCGACGGAAGCCAATTTTAACGCTTAAAAGTCACCCGAATTTGCATCGAAAATTCAGGGCTTTCCTAAAGAATTACAAGTTTCATTTATTACGTTTCCATGTTCTATTTGTAATAGTCTAGTGTTTCTCCCGCAGGCTGTGATCCAGGTCGACCCGGAAGATTTGGTGGTGAATACGGCTATTCTTCAGCTCGCCGGGTACACACCCCCGGCGCAGCCGTACCACCCACCTTCCATACAGGCGCTCCCCGATCATGACAAACAGGCCTACGACTGCATTGTCAAATGTATGGAACACCTTGCTGTTTACCTCAAGTATTGCGGCAATGGTGAGTATTAAACCCTTGGTTATAGAAGTTTCTGGAGCAGTAGTAAGTGATGAGTCTGGAGTCTGTAAAGTGCATTAGTGTCAACCACAGACCATAAGATACCTCCTATCCTCCTACACGCGCAGGTTTCCCCGTTAGGAGGATCGATGACATAGTTAAAGTTGCGTCGAGGCCTAGTTCAGCAGTGGGCATCATCCAGTTAATGACAATATTAGGCTGATTCCCTCAAAATAAATTATTTTATCCGGCAGGTAGACCGTAATGAAAAATGTGATTGTATTGCCAACGACCATAATATTTTAATGATCCAACTCCTAAAAAAAGAAAAGAAGAAAAAGTCCATGGTGTGTCGTGTAGGAAAAAGTGTAGAGAATCTTGTCTAAACTAAATCTATATGAACATATTGAATGTCTGACGCATCTGAACAGTTCAGTAAATCCTTACTAAAGTAACTAAAAATCGCGGGTTACTCACATAAGTCATAAATATACTAAGAAAAGCTCTACTAGTTTCGAAGCACAGAGTGGTTCTTCCTCATGAGCAACGTGCGGGGCCGCGGCGATGTCGCGCAACCTACGTAGTCTGCTATATTCACGTGGGTAACCCGCGATTTTTAGTTAATTTAGTGCGTCTTACGATAGTTATTATAAAAACAAATAACTAATACTAACTACATAGGCACGTAAATGACGTGAAAAAAGAGCAAAACTACACTCGCTATTCTATACAAATACGAGTATATCAGAATCCCCGTGATTGTCAAAATATTACTGGGTTGTGTCCGGGAAATTCTCAGTAACAGCGCGGGGCATGGTAATTACAACCAATTAAACCTAAATCAAATAAATCTACCTACTTTAACTTATACCAGCGCTAATATGATATGATATTGTAACACTCGCTTTATACAGGACGGGAATTAATTAAGTTTCACTCGCATTTAGCTAGCACTCAGGATTTTTCTATGAACGCATTATGTAGGTAGGTATTCCCCGAGATAAAAGGCTATTATGAGTAATCAATTTAGTGTTATGAAGTACGTCTCTAGCTAATTTCCTTTTTCCTCTTGTATATAAATGTATATTTTTAGATGTAGCCTGAGTTACGTTTGGGATGATGAAATCTCGTATCGGAGTTCCTTGAATTCTTGAAGGAAAAGTAATAAAATTCTGCGCGAGACGTAATAATGTTTGAGACGTACTAGACTAGGTTCATAATATTCTTATATGTAGTATTTACTTCGTAGTTCGTTGTGAGAACTGTCTACAGATTTAGGTAGCTCAAATGCTTGGGTAAAGTAAGGTTTGAAGATCAATACCATAATCGGATTCAGTTTGACGGTAACATCGTTTGGCCAAGACTTTCTGCCGCAGTGTCTTCAACCTGGAGATTTTGAAGTTTAAGTAAAAGTTGTACCTCTATATGGATGTAAATCCATCCCCAGTGAATGATATGCATATAATTTGTTTTACTCATACAGATCATCCGTTTCCCATTTCTTTTTTATTATTTTATATTGTAGATACATTAAATAATAATATGCTTTATAGATCTGCGCCAAATTTCATGTTTGTAATTCTTCGTGATAGGGATGGGCGGTGTTGACTCAATGAATGAGTCAGAGTTATCATTTAGATATGATTGTACAGATGAATATGTCAGTTTAGACCAGTGGGCTTACTCTTGAAACTAATCTCGATGTCAATTTCAAACCAATCCAATAATAATATGATAATTAGTGCGTCTGCGTACTTGTGCGTACTTTTAGCGAGCTTGGAATTAAAATCGCATTGATATTGGGATGGCGTTCGTGTCGGTAAGATTGGAGAGAACTTCACAATAGTGAGGAGCTATGAGTTTGGTCGCTGTATCGATAAACTGAATGTAGAATAAAAAATACGGTTTTTAACCTATTTTAATTGAAAACTGCATTGAAAAACATTTGTGTGACTTGGTCCTTAAAATGCTACCTATTGAAGATGGAAAATTACCACTAGGAAAAAGTTGATTGAATAATCAGCGGTTCTGGCGACAGATATTGGTGCAACGGTGTCTTGAACCTGATTTTAACACTTGTGTACCCTTCAACGGCCAAGCCCACAACATTAACTGTAATAATAAAGAAATCGCAGTAAGAACCTTAGTTTTGGCACGACTTTGTCTAGGTTTCATAACTTTTTAGAGGTGAACGAGCGGCTATTCGTCGAGACTTGCCTAGTTTTTTACAGTTACTAATTTTTAAGGAATCCCTATGCTCGGATAGGTGAAACTTAACATCATTTTTATTTTCACCAACCTATAAGTGACACCTAAGAGTACAAGTAAGGTTTGACGTAGCGCCTAAACTTCAATTTTCCTTTTATGACAGACAGTATTAGATAGGGATAGTAAAATCATAAAATCTACTGTGCATTTTATGTCCAAGGAAGTGCTAAAATCGAATGAAACAAATCATGAATATTTGTCGCGAGATTTAAAAATAGACATCTATATACTATGATTCAGTGCTTTCGATAAAAGATTCCGAGCCAAAATTGAATATGTCGTGGTGGACCGGAGGTTTAAAACGCCCGTTTCTAATGCACGAGGGTGCGGATTCGTAATTAAGTCTGGGAGTCTTCAATGCCTGATTGAATAGGTTGCTTATGGGACGATGCTCCATCATAGACCGCATCATCGCTTACCACCAGGCGAGGTAGTGGTCAAACGGCCATCAAATATAAAAACGTTAACAACGGCATGTCCCAAAGTGACTTTTTCCGAGTTATATGTACCATCTAAGATTACCTAGACACCACTGACAAACGGTGAAGGAAAACATCGTGAGGAAACCTGGACTTATAATTTCTAATTATATAACTGCCTCATTGGCCGAGTAGTCGCAATCGCAACTGCCGGGCAGGGGGTCTCGGGTTCGATTCCCGGGTCGGGCAAAGTATTACTGGGTTTGTAAAAACCTCAGTAGTAGCACGGAGTCTGGAAATGTGCCCGGTATATGGCAATAGCCTCACCCCTTATTACATAGGACTCAACATAAATAGTGAAAAGTGTGTATGACATTGTACAGTAGCATTAAATGCCGTAATGTGCACTTCTGCCCTACCCCTTCGGAGATAAAAGGCGTGATTTTATGTATGTATGTATGTTTGTAATTGCCAACCCGCATTGAGCAAGCGTGGTGATTAATGCTCAAACCTTCTCCGTGTGAAAAGAGGCTTTGCTCATCAGTGGGCATTAATAGGCTGTTGATGATGATGATGATGAAAAATGAAAAATCAGGATTTTACAGAAAGGAATAAAGTTGCAGGTATAAAAGTTGATATTCTGCCGTCAACAAAGTAAAAGTACCTAGAGTGTATTTGAGAACTTTTTATTATTCGATTATAAGTATAGATCTGAGAGAACATTGGCATTTGCAAGTAAGAAAGCTAGACAAATAATGTGCAGTGTTGATCATTTATCTATGCCCCCGTCCATTTCTGCAACTATAATCCATCCACGGTGACATAGGCAGCTCAGAGGAAAATACCAACATAGTACAGTACCGTTGGTTCATGCCTTCTTAGAAAGTAAAGAGCAAACTACATATTATATATATTATTTCAGTTTAACAAAAAAAAAGGTCACCTAATGGAAACCAAAACAATTGGCTAGTTTTCCAAGTTTAAAATAAATTGTTTTAACTTTTCAATGCAATAAATAATAAAAAATAATCATACTCTCATCCTTTGATTTGACACTTTATCTACTTTTGGATTTTTTTTTCGCTAATTTTAAGGAAATAAGTATGCTGTTTGACGCAGAAATATGATGACGTCATACGTTGCGATCTAATACAAAATTCATAGAAAAGTATCGTTTTTGACATTTCAATAAAAGTAGTGAATTTGACTACCTGTCAACTGCCGTATTACAGTTGATTTTAAAAAGGTCCCATATTAGAATTAGAAAAAACGTTTGCAGAAGTATAACTAAATGGTTACTTTCAATATTTCAGCAAGGCCATTTGGAGCAAAGCTAAGACTTTGAAAATAAGTAAAATAATTCAGAAATTTGCTATTTTTGTACAGAAAGTTGGTTTGTAACAATTCTACAACGTGGCCGGTACTAAAGTAGATGTCACGCATGCGCATTTTGGGTGTTGCCTCTAGCTCCTCTACAGTCTAATAGGCTATGACGTTGATGCATTCAGAGTATGGAATAAGCTCAGACTCGATGACATTTAGTTAATTCAATATCTACCAAATACGAATGTGGCGCTAGTATTGTAACTCAGGAGTACGAAACATCACAATATTAATTTCGATCTATCAGAATTGGATTGAAGAGTCAGCCCACTGATAGGTTAACAATATTCAACGCGTACGATTTTTTTAAATTAGGTACTTACTGTCTACATTCTTCGGTACATTTAAAGAACTTGTACAATATTTACATCGGTGCTTAAGAAGCGTCGTGATCCGGAAACTTAGGCAAGAAACTTTGTTGTCTACTTGTAATCCTGTTTTTTTAACGTAGTTCCTATTTACAGCGCTCCCTCTGGAGTTTGCAGACGGCGACTAACTTTTCAAAATACACCAAGTATAGTACTTATTTTTTTATGGAAATTACAAGTTTTGAGCTGAATATATCCTTGTTTAGGATTTGGTTTCACATTGTTTTGATTAACGTCTCACTCTTGGTCCGATACTACATGAAACAGTTAGGTATGTTCACACAATATACAATTATTTAAATAATAATTTGTCCATTTAGTCGATTTTTTAACTTTTTGTATTACTCGCATTTGCCAAACGAAACTGCATCTGGCCTTAGTTTCATATGACAGACTGGAGTTAGACACCCAAAACCCTTAAACAAATCATTAAATTGAAAATACACATTTTATTATACATATTTTTTTACAAGGAGACCTAAGACAGTTGGACAGACTGGTTTGCTACTATTTCGGTTAAGTTATTGTTTTAAATAATTAAATTACATTTTAAAACTTTGCCTAAAATTGGAATGGCTTATCCACCAAATCTGTGACGATTACATGACATTTAGCAATTTGTGACATTGACATATTGAAGACATTGACATGCAGGCCCGCCGTAAGCGCGCGTGCAAAGCGTGCACAGCACACGGGCGCACGATCATGGGGACGGCAAATCGAGCCACTCATTACTTACTATTCAAAATCATTGTCCAGAGTAAGCAGAAAGCATAAGAAATATCATCGCCGGGAAAAAATCCCACTCGACGTAAGCAATATTAGTGTTGTGTATTACGTTTGAGGCTCTATACCGGACAGTAGCGCCTTAAATCCGAAGTCTATCGAGCGTTCTTGAAAACTATTGAGCGTCCACGATCACATTTGAGAGTAACTCGAAAATTATCGAGAGTCCTCAATTACTTTCGGGTGTCCTCGATTACTTTCGAGAGTTACTCGATCACTTTCGAGCATCGTCGATCGATATCAAGCGTCCTCTAAAACTATCGAGCGTCCTCGAAAACTCTCTAGCGTCCTCGAAAGCTATCGAGCGTCCTCGAAAACTATCGAGCGTCCTAGAAATCCTTTAGTCTTTATCTATGTATTGAAGGGTCGGTTGCCAAAGAAGAAGAAAAAAATATTGTCAGAACGACAATGATGTGTTGTCTCTTTACGCTTAGACAAACAGACATAAGTAACAACAATATGTAAATGAATTTATCGTCGAAATACATCCTAAATTCTACCCGTAGACGAAAGTCCGACATCTATATGATTATTATATCTATGATGCCATATCATGCCTATTTTAATCAAAATGAGATACTCTTCAAAGTTCCAACGCTTTCGTATTTGCCAACTAAGAATTATGTTAGCTATCCTAGGTTCTGGGTCAATATCAGTCTTGCCAATGGAAGGTTGAATGTATGTGATTGGTTTATATTTACTACAAAGTCGTGTTTCAATTAAGACTCCGTTAACCTCGCTCACTGTTTCACGCTAGTTTTGTGTTTTATTTTCCAGCCAACAACAGTATGGCTAGTAGCCGGCTTTCTCGGCCCATGCAGAGGAAGCTGGTTATGCTACTTCAATGTGCCGTCATCGACGAGGAAGGGAGAGGCAGGGCGGCACGAGCAGCGCGATCCCTTGGTGAAAGAACCGTCACCGAACTGATACTTCAACATCAGGTAACACCTTTTCTAAAATCCTCAACTGGCTCGTAAGTTACGAGAATTTACCTTTAGGTTTTTGATAGCCGAAATTCTCAGTTAAAGCATACAGTTTAGAACTGTATATTACATTTTACTTTAATACATTTGCTGCTTTTGCTGCTTCACTGACGAAAATTAATAAGCTACAGAATAAATGACGTGATATTATAAACATACAAAAATAATAGCGAATAATGGGCAGTCTTTTCACCCAAGAAGAATTTCTGTAGCTTTACATTACATTCAGAAACTTATACACAGTACAACTTATGAATAAACAAACATACTAAAACTTTTACAGCACTCTATCATATTTAATATGCAAAGCGTCTGCTACGCAAGTCTTGTGACGCTCAAAGCAAGCTTGATATCACTTGGTACAAACTCAATTAGGTATGGCGGCAGCCATTTGCGTCACTGTCTTTGTGAATTCGTTTAGCGTCATTATATAATATTACTCCTGCCAGAATAAACTTAGTCAATGATCGTTAAATGCATTCTTAGCTATACGCGCCAAAAGGTGTTCAGTATTCATTAAAGTCTTATAAACCAATTTTTAAGTAAAGCCTCGGCCGCATTGCAGTGAAATCCCGTTTGTTTTTTCTCGTAAATCCCCATCGCAAAGGAGCAGAACCGTGAATACCCGGGAATAAATTGTATTGAAAATTTTCGGTTGAAGATCGGTAGTTTAAAAGGTTCAGGGTAATCAAAGAGCGCTGCTAGCCTGTCGATTTTATACTCCATCTGCGAGGAGCAAATGGTGGTGGCAAATGTATTTTGTTCTGTATCACCAGATAATATAGCACACCTGAACAATATGTGCTTATTTTTATGGTATAATGGATCACCTATTTGGAACGGGGCGTGACAGTATTTTCTTTGAGGCCGTGGTCGTGGTATATCTCTCCCGTTAAACCGACCCGTTCGTACTGAAGCATGACTCTTCCCCACTTAAGTATGTTATAGTAATACCGTCGTTATGTTATAGAACCCACAGCAGTTGAGCGCGAATCTGTGGGCGGCAGTGAGAGCGCGCGGCTGTCAGTTCCTCGGCCCGGCGATGCAGGAGGAAGTCCTCAAGCTGGTACTGCTGGCTCTCGAGGACGGATCTGCACTATCCAGAAAGGTAGGAAAACTGTTCCTTTACTCGAACCACCATCATCATCATATTGCCAGGGCTGGAATATGGGCTCCACATAAGAGGGGATTTCCATAGACGCTTGGAAAGCAGGTTTTTTTATATATTTCATAGGCCGACGTTTGACCACTATCTCGCCTGCTATGATGCGACCTACGATGGAGCACGTCATCCCATAAGCAACCTATTCATTCGGGCCTTAAAGACGGAGGTTATACCCTTCAGGAAATACAGACTCTGGCAAAGAATTCCACTCCTTACCAGTACGCATAAGGAAACTTGATGCGAAAAGCTTTGTGCGTGTGGGTCTACAATGAATCGGTGAAGCTTAGAAATGTGCTGTTTAAAATATTCAACTGGGTGTCGAAGCGCTGGTTTAACTCGTCGAGTACCGGTTTTGTAGACACAATTATAGAACAATAGGTTGCGGTCACCGGTGACCGCTTGGTGTTTGACAGTTTAAAGAGTGAATAGAATTCAATGTAGTGACACCGGCAGTATGTTAGAACAATAACATCTATTAGTTGAACGCGTGTTTGTGTTACAGGTGTTAGTGATGTTTGTTGTCCAAAGACTGGAGCCTCATTTTCCGCAGGCTTCAAAAACTAGCATAGGCCATGTCGTCCAGCTCCTTTACAGAGCTTCTTGCTTTAAGGTAAGTCCTGAGTTTAATTAATATAAGTTATTTATGTGTACTTTCTCTTAAATACAATACTACAAATCTTAGTAAGTTTCTGTAAGCTTAGCTGACATATTTCATACTAGCTGTGCACGCGATTTCGTCCGCATGGAATAGTGACTTTGACTAGTTCTTTACAACTTCTCCCCTGTAGATGATATTGTGATAATATGTAGCCTATATGTTAACCCGACTTGTTAGTAACATTCATGCAAAATTTAAAGCGATATCCATGCAGCACTTTTTGAGTTTAACATGGTCATGCATACAGACAAACAGACAAAAATAATAAAAACTATATTTTTGGCTTCAATATAGATTGTGGATCACTCCCCAACTATTATTTAAAGAATATTACACAATGTACATTTTTAATTTTCCTACAATTTTATTATCTGTGTGTATACTGTAGCCAGTATTCCCATTATCTGTGTGTATACTGTAGCCAGTATTCCCATTATCTGTGTGTGTGTGTTTTTTTTTAACGTTGCCTCACTTTAGCATTTGCTCCTGTGTAGTGGGTGCGTTTACAAACATACAAGTTCACATACATAATGACACCCAGACTCGAAACAACAATTTGTGGATCACACAAAGTGTTGTTCCGTGCGGGAATCGAAGCCGCGACACGTTGCACGGCAGCCGGTTGCCCAGCCACCGCACCAACCGTGCAGTCAACCATGTAGCCAGTATTACCATTATCTGTGCGTATACTGGCTACAGTATATAAACAGATAATGGTAATACAGATAATAAAATCGTAGGAAAGTCAAAACTGTGTTTTTGTCTGTTTGTCTGTATGTATGACCGTGTGCTCTGCTCGGCGCCTATTGAACGTAAAGCTAACGTGTTTTGTCCTATAGGCTACATCCAACTATTTTTACGGCTATTTTTGTGTTAGATAGTCCATTCATCGAGGAAGGTTATAGATAGGCTATATAAAACATCACGCCTAGCAAAGAAACGTATACCAGCTGTGAGCGCGTTTTTTTTTTTTGGAATAGGAGGCAAACGAGCAGACGGATCAACTGATGGTAAGCGATCAGCGCCGCCCATGGACATCCGCAACACCAGAGGAGTCACAGGTGGGTTGCCGGCCTTTTAAAAAGGAATACGCTCTTTTCTTCCAAACCAACAGGTTGAGGCCATGAATGTTAAACGTATTTTTTTTTAATTTCCCAGGTATCTAAACGCGAATGCGATTCATCTCTAATGCAACTAAAGGAAGAATTCCGTACATACGAGTCGTTACGGCGCGAACATGACGCGCAGATAGTTCAAATAGCAACGGAGGCGGGGCTTAGGATAGCTCCCGACCAATGGAGTGCCCTGCTCTACGGAGACACCGCCCACAAGAGTCACATGCAAAGCATTATTGGTATGTGGGCACGAATTTAGACCTTATCACATTATCTTCATTAACGGGCCCAAATGTCCACTGCCAGGCTAAGAGACTCGTCTACAAAAAGGATTTGACATATATTTATCACCCTCGTCGTGCTCATTTTATCATACTCAAGTCAAGTTATGTGGTCTCCTAATCGACTCTTACGCACCCATGGGAAGGATATGTGTGGGCACAAATAAATGTAGTATCCAGGGTGCCCTCGCAAGTCGCCACATACTGTTTTGAAGGGATTTACAGCTTATTTCCATGAAAACCATACATTCATTCTTACCTATCGGTACATATGACTGGTATAGTTGAAGTCGGTTCTTTTTCAACTAATCTTTCTTTCAGACAAATTGCAAACTCCGCAGTCGTTCGCGCAGTCAGTCCAGGAGTTGTTCATAGCGTTGCAGAGAACAGGTGACCCAGCGCAACTGGTCGTCATGAGCCTGCATCTCGATAGACTAGCCAACATCGACGCTAGCCCAGGTATTTAATTTATTTACAACATTTCTAGAGTACTTTTTGAGCTATACAAAAACCAATGTAACATTGCTCGCTTTGTATAATCTTTTCGCATATGTGAAGGTCAATTTATACTGGTATTGATGTGAATGTTCACTTCTCCGAGTATTTTCGACTTTATGTTAAAATAGTGAAGTATGAGAATGGAATAATAATAAACAAAGGTTAACACAACCTTTCTTAATTTGGCCCCTTTTTACAATAAATTTCATAAGGGTTTTGTATACATTTAAATTGAATACCATCATTGGAAACTGAAATTACAAAGTATTCATATAAATTAATTGATTTATATTAACTTTATTTTTTAAATTTACGAGATCTCGACGAAATGTATTCTAGACGCGAAGAACCCGTCTTGGCAGCAGCTAGCTGAGGTGGTGACGTCACTGAAAGAGGTCGTGGCCGGCCTCATACATTACTTGCAGCAGCAGGCCACCGGCCGGGACTCCAACCATAATCAGAAACAACACCCACTACCCGAACGGTGTATGGATAACAATGCCAGTAAGTATACATTATTGTGATCATCATATCAGCCACAAGATGTCTTACTGCTGAACATAGGCCTCCCCAATAACTTCTATATAAACTTTGTATGTGCTGTTTGTTTCCTTCCAACCATGTATGTTTGTGTCGTACGAAGTACAGACTACATATAACTTTACAACACATTAAAACGTTAAGCATTTAGAACTATTTGATATTTATTGTTAACCATACTACTGGTAAGGGTAACGTTGTTGTCTACCAAATCTTTACAATCTTAAAATTTGTCACAAACTTCAACTTACTAAACTTACTGAACTAACAGCATAACGCAACGACTAGAACACGTCTCCTACTATCTCTTCAGATTTCAATAAACGACTTTATAGCCTTATAATAATTGTGATTATTTTTCGCAGGTCAAGTCTCCCCGCAGACGGCAGCGTCGACTCCAACACATAATAAATACAAGGTGTCGATGTGCAGAGACGCGGCTACACGCTCCTTCTGTCCTCGAGGAAACTCCTGTACTTTCGCTCACTCTGAAGAAGAAATGGAAAGGTAAATGTACTAAATAATCTCAGTTAAAGCCCATTCGTACGAGTGTCATTTGACACACGTTTAAAAGCGTTCAATATAGCCAATGCATCTGTTTAGCATATGTTCCCAAGTGCAGTGATTTTATAAAGCGACGAAGTCAGCGCTAAATTAAATGGTGTTAAAGACTAAATTGTATTGTATACACCACTAACGCTGATTTTAACGCGACGTTAAATACAGTCGTGCGAATGGGGCGCATAGCGACATTTTTCCGCGCGGTTTTGTTTTTCCGCAATTCTGCAAAACAGGCGATAAAAAATCGCGCGATAAAAATTTTGTGATTACATGTAAATTGGATGTGACGTAGTATGGTATAGTTCGCATCACGAACCATAGCGAGATATTTCGTATTTTTGTGTGCGTAAATTCGCTCAATGTGTTTGGTTATTGCCATCATTTATTTCTATTTGAAAGCAAGTTAAGAACATAAAAGGAGTAGAGGGAAGTCCCTTAACGCCAGACGGCACCTGACGCCGACCAATTTTTAGGGGGAAGTCTCCCAATCTGCAATCACCGAATAGCTCGTGTTATCAGTTATCGAGATAATACAAGTGTCCGGCGTTAGGTGGCGTCCAGCGTTACGGGACTTCCCCCTATGTATTAGAAGGAAAATTTATAAAATAGAATAATTACAAAACCGTAAACCACGAAAATTCTAGTTGTTTCGTGCCGGGCATTATATTGTAGATAGATCAGTATTTTCCAAAGTTTGTTCTGATTGGCCGGCTCCAGTAAACCAACCGTCCGAGCGCCGAATGCGCTCGATACTATTACGTTCCGAATGCGATAGTTATTCGTGCTTGGCACTCTGTTCTGTCAGAACCTGGTCATTTTCACACTACTGAAAATATAGAAAAACTGAAAAGTTAGCCATTGCGAACATAGATTTTGTTTATGTTATGACTTTCGTAAGACATACTAAATTAATTACTATATTTTTCGACTTACTCACGTTTCAATTGTTTCTCGACTAGTTTCAAGCCATGCTAGAGGCTCATAATCATGAGCAGCATTCCGCGACGCGGCGACTGTCGCGTTGCTGCTAGTAGCATCACGGGTCACGGTCGAAAAACATAATAATTAATAGATTTTGTTTGTTCCCACTAGCAATGCTCCTTCTCTTTTCGAAACGAACTATTTTATTTTCTATAGAACATAGACTTTAACTAATTTTCAGCATGGCTACGGCCTACTTAATGATGTTCTTTATAACCCTTCGGGGACATGTTATTCGAGGTTTCATTCTTATAGATCATTCTATTATATACTCGATCTAGATTAATCATGACTAAGTAATAACAATATTTATTTAAAAAAAGTGCTTTAAGTTCTAGTTCTCAATTGAGAATGGGCCCATGTACTCAATTTGCGAAGTTATTCGCTCATACCATGCTTGCGTGCAATATACCAAAAGCGATATATATTTTCTTTTATATGCTATGATTGCGACGTAATCAAACGTGGAATAATATGTTTTTATACAAAACAGTTTGTTAGGATGTATAGTTGTTACTCCTTCACGCTAAAAATATTGAACGAATCATAATGACATTGAGCACAGAGATAGATGTTTAGATTTTATACACAGGCGACTTGCAAGTTAATATTTTTTCTGATGTATTTTCATTTTAGACTTTATGATTGTTAATAATGTTTTGTATCTTAAGTATATAATATTGTCACAGGTTTAGGATTAACGGCAATTTCCCGTATCCGATGATGCCAAACCAGCCGTTGCTCCCGAACCAGCCAATCCCGATGCCGGGGCCCACAATGCCGATGGCGGCGCCGGGTGTACAATACCCACCCTTCCCCATGCCCCAACCACATTTGGAGGGCCATTATAATGTACAACGTAAGTCAGCTTTCGTTCTTTTATATCGTGGTGTCTTTAACATCATACTCAGAAACGGTTGTTTTACTACTGAGTCCACCAACAATTTATTTAAGAATGACATTAAGTACTGTCTCTGTATTGAATCTATTGGCTATGTGCGCGACGGTGGCGACGCGTAGCGTTTACAACATTTGCGGAAGCTTTGACAGCTTCATAAGAACAATGTAAACATTATAATTTTCTTTGCAAATATAAATAAAACCAAAGATTAAAATAGTATTGTTGACAATATTTAAGTCCGATTTATTCAATAGTTTTACTATAAAATGATAATAAAATAAAAACCGGGTTTGCATCATCCGCATTTGTTTTCAATTTCTGCCGTGTTGTGCGCTGTGGTCGCTAGCTGTCCCCCACTACTCGGTTTGCACATAGCTAATACTATCAGCCCCTGTGCAGTGTATCACCTTGTTTTGTTTGCAGCCATGCCGCCGGTGAATATGCCCGCTGACATGGAGCACGTCAACGTGAACAACGGCCACCATGCAATGTAAGTGATGACAGTTAGGACTAATCTTAAACATGCTCTTATTTCGCGTGCTATTCGGATTATAAATAGTACTGTACTGGAGCATGATTTGTTCCACAGCATAATAAGGTTTTTTGACGCCGTCCACAGGCATATTGAATATAATAATAATAATCGAAAGTATATTGAGTAGTTGTTTCTATATTGTTATAATATTATGTATTAGCCCGCGACTTCGTACGCGCAATCCTGTTTTCTCCCGTTCCGATTTCTGTCGTAAGAACCTTCTCCTGACAATAACAAACAACAAAAAAATCAGCCAAATCGGTCTAGCCGTTCTCAAGTTATGGCGTGACAACGAGAAACGGGTTTCATTTTTATATAATTATGTACATAAGATGTATTGTAAGGTGTTATAAATAAATAAAGTTAGTAATAATATAAGTATTTTGCTAGTCTTAATACATTCTGACGTCCCTACGTAATCAACTTGGTTAACATCAAACAAAAGACTTAAAACTATACTACATAAATAGCATCACGCCTTTTATCGCCATAGGGGTATGCAGAGGTGCACATTACGGCACTTAATACCACTGCAATTTAACACCCACTTTACATTGTATGGTATGAGTCGCATGTAATAGGGGGTGAGTCTATTGCCATAGGCACCAGCGGGATAAGTAAATGTGGTGAAAAATGTATTCTCCTCTATGGTCATCACATGACTACATTTGGGGGCTTACTCTTGATTTCAATTTCGATCGGTCGACATTGGTATTGTAAAATTTCGTACTCTTGAGTTGCAACACTAGCGCCCATTGCATCCGTATTGCGTGAATATTGGATGAACTAAATGGTATTGAGTTTGGCTTTATATTCTGTACTCTGAATTCTATTTTAACAGCTATCTTTGGGGTAGTAGTTAAATAATTATTGAAATTTTATTAGATTGAAATTACATTGAGATTGGTATCAAGAGTAAAGCACATGGACCGTTTTGTAAAAAAAATACTTCTTTTACAACAGTTACACCCCGCACCCGATAATCCTGAGCCAGGAGGTTTTGATCCCCACTAATGGGGATCGTTTCTATCCGCGGTACAACGCGCGCTTGCCCGAGGAACATCACGGTCCGGTGCAATACAGAACCTTCGTGCCACCGCCACCTCCGCAGAACAACGTACATATGTACCCACAACCAGAACCTCCACAGCCTCCCAGGGATGATTTGTTCACTCGTAAGTACTTAACAATCTGAAAATTAAATTAATATATGTTTTGTAAGTTGTAATTAGAATGGTTCCCCAGTCAAAGTTGTTCGGACAACACAGCGATTATATTTTAAACTTATGATCACATGCCAATCACATGCCAACCTAATTTCTTATGATGATATATAGTTTGCTACGCGTAGACCAGTAGTGCCTTTGTTTTCACAATTGGCGTCAAATACTTAATGTCGTATTATTGTTATGTTAACATTTGTCTATCAGTTCAGATATGTACGTATATTTCAGCGGGAATGCCTGCAGAACTACTGCCGGAGTACCGAGTGAATGCGAACACTTACGGGCCTCGTCCCGACGCTGTGTGGGCTCCCAATCCGGGCGAGGTAAGTCCTAGTTATGATCAGTTGTCACTATAAGACCCCGGCCGCGCTACGGCGAACCCGCAGCGGTTTTTAACCAGTCATTTTGTAAAACAAGAACCATTTTTACACCTTTTTGTATATTTTTCAGATGTTCAATTTCGGAGACATGCGAGCAGCTCTGCCAACGGCCCCTCCATTAGCTCCTGAGGTAAATATCACTGCTTGCTATTGATAAAAAACAAACTCGTAGTACTAGTACGTCCTGCTTGTTTTATCCTTTATAAGGTAAGGTTTTGGTGATCTTTACTTTGTTGGATCCGTTTCCGCCTGAAATAAAAACGTAATTCAAAAAGGGACATATTTTTGTGACATGAAGACGATGAAGCAGTTTACCGGGATATGAATGTAACGGTTCGCATCGCAGCAGGTATACACTCCGGCGCGCTCGTCGGTGATTCTCCCACTAGTCCGGTCTCGGCGCTCGTCGCCAGTGGACGGTGCGGGGCCCCGGGCAGTGGGTGGACCTGTGTCGGGCCCCGGGCCCATCCCGTGCCCTGCGCCACCAGAGCCTTTTGCCGCGCCGGCCCCCGTGCCTACAGTAAGCAACGGTCCGACGGCGAGCCAGACAGTGGCGGCTAGTAGACTGGCGGTCGGCGCCAACCGGCTCCCTCGCGACAGGTCCACCGTTGCAGATCGCCTCAGTGCCGCCGCTAAAGCGTATCAAGCGACCGGGTCCGATGACGTAAGTACATCAGACGAGAACTAACGACATGTAACTACTTACTAACAATGTTGTATCTAAGTATCATTGCCTCATCTTCATCCTTAGTATGCTGCAAGCGAGCTATCATTGACGTACAAGTGAACTGTCGTATATCATTTCAACATTGTAGTGTTTGTCATATTGCAGTGTGTGTCTAGATGTTAACATTAGGTACATGTATATACATTCATAGCTATTTAACTCAGAACATAACGAAGGGTGTAAACATGGCACCGTTTTACGAATATTCATTATATTAAACGATTTTCTAAATGCTGTAAGTTTACGTTTTCGTTTCGACTACTTTTGGGTGTGTTTCGATGTAGATAAACTAATATATTACTGTATTATACGGTACATGCATGATCCCTCATAACACATCTTTTTAGCCAGTCGTGTGAAAATAACAATCGAAACGAAAACTGAAACTATTGTCCTTTATGCTTGATCCTCGTCGGGAGAAGACTATAAGACTTCTTTCGCTAAACAATGTTAAATAATATCAATGTTTATGGACATTATTGTAACTAAATTCTAAGTATAATAATCGAAAGTATCTAGTCATTCATTATATAACCGTGATTGTGTCTAGTTCAGCCTGATTGATGAATAAACGCATCTCTGGATAAGTTATCTTTCATTGTTCGACGCCCCTTTTTATTTGAAGCTTTTATTTTATTCATTTGGTTAAGAAGCGAGCGAGCTATCAATCATTTACTGGGGAAAAGACTAACCACTTCATAGCCTTCACATCGTGTAAATATGGCACAGAGATTCTCCAATAAATATCTTTAAGGGATTATCGATTCTATTTCAAAGCAATAAAGTTGAAATCTTTTATAGATTGGGATAGTCGAATGCGGTATGTACATTATACCATCGATACGAAGTTTTTCATACTAAAACTCATAACGCCACTCTCCTTCCACGCTTCCGCTAATCAGTCATGCTTTGTCAAATTTAATGGGTTATGGAATTTCGATATTCACGAAAATTCATCTAACATTTAGTCGATTCGTTTTCGAAGACGAATCTTCTACGAACGACTGCACATGAAACTTCACTAAAGTGTCTAAAGTTTCTTCGAAATACTATTAGAACAGTTAAAACAGTATAGTAAATACATTTACTAGCTCAGTATGATGTGCTTCTGTTCGTAATTTTTAAAATATCTCCTTGGTTCAGTTGTGTCATATCATCAGCATCTATCAACTATTTACAGAGCATTAATGTTTTACTCAAAAACAACTCACTACTACTAACTTCTTTGGTGTATTTATCATTCCCGACAGGCGTTTTTATGCATTTAGGTGTAACAGTCATTTTGAACAAGTTAAGTTAGAAATTCCTTGCATTCACTAAGGAAGTCTGCAAGACCCGTAGCAACTGCTAATTGAAATACGTGGTCAAATCGCTACTCCATAAAACTAAATAATGAATCAAAATATTCTGTTTATATAACATCTAACATTTTTATCATACAATTTATAGACCAATACACCATTTGAACGCGAAACATCCATATTCAAGATGTGTTTACAAATCATTTTTTTACATTAACGGACAAAAAACTATACATATTTGTCCGGGAATAATGTCGCGCTACATTGTCCTTCAAACTGTATTTCTGTTCACCAGAGGGTGCTAGTGTACTTCTCGATTTTCGACCAATAGAGAATTTGCTAGGGTCACACTTTTGGACGCTCAATATTTGACAGGTGCAATGATTGAACACAAAACCTCTTGCTATATTTTCGCCAATTGGTGACCATAAATACGGTAGCCCCCAGTAGAGTACTATATATAATAATTATGAACAATGAAATTGGAAATCATGTGATTAAGTAGCATATGCATACACTTTTAAAGAGCTTCATTTAATTCTATTAATTAAAATGTGTATTCGTTTCTGTTACAGCAAGAATTAGAGGCTGGTCTGCAAGCTCTTGAGCGCAGGATCGACACGGAGTTCAAGAGCGCCGACTAATGCCGAGTAAGCCCTGCTGACGCTCCCGGCAGAAACATTTAATATAAGGCGACATGAATTACAAAATCTTTTTTACAAAGTTTTCTATCTTCAACACTTGAACGGTAGGAATAACAAACATGTTTACGTTTCACCTGTACAGAATGACTTTTAAGAAATCGCTTTCCTACAATGGAACGGTTTGCAGTCACTACAATTATGGCAATAAAGAGCTAAGCTAAATATAATAATAATATTATAGCAATATTGAGCTAAATATAAAAATAATATTGTAGCAATAAGGGCTAAGGCAAATTCGTGACTGCCATTGAGTGAAATTCACGCTGTACAGGAAAAACGTAACTATTAAGTGTATAATATCTCCCATATAATGGATGTCCTACGCCAAATCGGATGGCATACTCTTCTCACATGAAATTATCAAAAACTATTTGTTTCTTTAGGACAATGTGAATGAGACTTTATGAAAAGTTAGATTATTCCTAGGGACGTCACATTTATCCACTCCTCCTGTGGATTTATTTGTTAGAATTTGATTTTTGTTTTTGTTGTAATAGTAAGATTCTTACAAACATTTTATTTATGTTAGATTTGACAATGTTTTCCTTTCTTTTTTTATCTACAGACTTATAAAACAAACTTATACGTACACGCAAACTATGGCCCGTAAACCAGACACATGTTTTTGCGACCAATTTCTTTCCCGTCGGTAACTTGTTGAATACTTCAGAGAGTCTGTATTATAAAGGGTAATGGACGTCCGCTGCGGCTCGTAAAGTGGGTCCGTGGTCGTTCAGTGCTCAACCCTCCGTACATACCGCAGCTTAAGTGCACAACGCTTTATAATACAACTCTGAAGCATTTTACAATTTATCAACGGGGAGGAAATAAGTTATTAAAATAGGTGTCTGGTTTACAGGTTTTTCGGCGCAATATTGAAAGACGGATGATTTTAATAACTGCATCATTTTACACGATTGGTATTATGTAACAGTCTCAATACAAAAGAAATACTACTTTATTTAGATAGCAGTAAGCTAGCAATTATAGTTTGCTATAACGCTAGCGTTATTTAAATGAAATCATAAAGTGGACTGTTTTTGGCCCGTTTTGATTACTGTTTGAAAATACGTTTTTTGAAGGTGTAACTTATAACCGATGCTACGCTTTGCTGTGCGGCTATGCTGATTAAGATAAATAAACATTTGACAAAGAGTTTCATGAATTAGAGAATTATATAATATTTATTTTATTGAGATTTATGTATGTACTAAGAATAAATCGATCAAGTCAGCATGAATTCGAAAGATCCAATCATAAAAGCGTAGCCTTAACAGTCTGATTATCTCGTGGGCTACCCATGGTCTAATGCTATCAAATTATATTTTAAATATACATGCGATGAAATTATATGTATATACAAAACAAAGTAATCAATCACTTGAACTAGTTGTGTGTTTATAGAAGTCAGTGTTTTCATTGGGTGGTAGCTTTCGTGATGGTAGGTAGTCTAGTCCTTTAGTTCGGGTCGGGCTGAACCGTGAATACAGCTTGTTGACAATAACAACTACATTATTATTAATTCCCTAAAGCACTCGATGACGTTGATTTGTGTTATTTTGTGCATTTTGGTCGCGATGTAAATTCTATACTTGTTGTATAAAAATAATAAAATATTTCGTTTTGCTTTTGCCGGAGTAAACGTTGATTTATACGGTTCACTATTATTATAATCACAATCGCAACTTCGGAATTCATTATCTGGATCGATTTCAATTGAATTCATATCATTTCAAGATTAATATAAAAAAATGTGCAATATAATAAAGAACTTTACGAGTAAGAATCGGTGAGACATTATCAGAACATCGAGAAGTGCATAGCGGAGTGCCCCAAGGGTCTGTATTGGGCCCAGTGTTGTATATAATATACACATTTGACCTTCCCAGTTGCCTGAGATGTGAAGTCAGCATATTTGCTGATGATACTAAAATATTTGCGGATCCGACAGTTGACTATAACCATCTTCAAGAGGACTTAAACAGAATAGCAAACTGGTCCAAGGAGTGGCTCATCAACCTCAACGCTTCTAAATGTACGGTACTGCATATAGGTACCAGTAATCCTCGTCTGACATATAAACTGTGTAACGCTGAACTGACAGGGGTCAAGGTGCAAACAGACTTAGGGGTAAAGATTACCGAGGATCTAAAGTGGGAAGAGCACATAACTTCGATCACCAAAAAAGCCAAGAGTCTTGTATACCTCATCAGGAAAGCGTTCGGTGTCTTGACTCCGGAGATGATGCTTAAGATCCACAAAACTTTCGTCAGGCCCGTCCTAGAGTATGCATTTCAGGTCTGGAGCCCCTACTTCGTCAAGGATATCGAACACTTGGAAAAAGTACAGCGTAGTTTTACCAAAATACCACGAGCACTGAAACAGCATCCATATGAAGAGCGCTTGAAGGTTTTGAACTTAACCACATTGAAGGATCGCAGGCAGCGTGGGGACCTAATTGAGACATACAAGATCTTGAGTGGACATTATGACATTACTGATTTCGAGCAACTGTTCGCACGTAATGAAAACGTTCATCTTAGAGGCCACCACCTTAAGCTGTGTAAAAGCTTATCGAAAAATATTCCTCACAGACAATTTCTGAGTAATCGCGTGGTCGGAGCATGGAACAGGCTTCCAGAATATGTAATCGCTGCACAGAATGTTAACCAGTTCAAAAACAGACTTGACAGATACACAACATCGAATTAACCACTGATAGAAGAATACGATACAGACATTTATCAGTTGTTTCAACTGCCTGTCTGAATTAAATAAATAATAATAATAATAATAATATAAAATGTGTGTTCTATAAAACTAATAATCATAATTAAAACGAATATACAAAAAAAGGAAAAAGTGTGGTTAAAAGTTGATGTATGTACAAAATAATCATTATTGACCAAAATGCATTAACTGAAGAAGTCGACGTCATCAATGAAAAATAGTCTCACCACTATAGTGAATAGTGATAGGTGCCTATAGCTTACGATTATTGCGCATATAAATCATGATAAATACAAAATATTATATTCTAAATTAAATCATGTAAAGATAAATTGGTTGTCCGCTAGAAGTCTCTCAGGCGACAACCTTAAAATATGATGATTGAAATGATGTACAAATTATAATTCTAAATCTACTAGCAATTTGTATAAGTCGTTTTTTCCTCAGTGGTGAGACCGGCTGTACTGAGTCGATGCCACTTTATAAATAGTATTCTAAAACTTAAACTAATCTATGGTTCTACAGACATACTTCTGATTATACACTTCCTATCTCTAGTGACGTTGGTTTAATTGCTTCTACGCGATTTCCAATTATGTATTCAAACGTCAATTTTGAGACGCACTCGACGGTATTTTTGTGTTACTTTAAAGTACATCTTTAGAATAAACATTATTTTTACTTGGAGTGTGCGTACGTTGTGTAGAAAATGTTGCATAATCAAGGTTCTACAGATCCTTGTTCGAGTGCACTCAATATTAGTTCATTGTTTGTCGCACAACTCTATTTGCAAAGTTTTATACACCTCTTCAGTTCGGCTCATGATTGCTTGTGCTTGTGACTGATGTAACTGTTAGCTTTCAATTTATTTCATCACTGCGACTATTCACTTTTGCCAGCACACGGCATACTTCACAAGTGTCTCTGCGTTTGTGCGACAAAGTCGTATCAAAACCGTTCTCTCAGTCATCCGTCTTTCGTTGTTTCTCTTTCATAAAGGAATAACAAAACTGACTGACAATACAAAGCTGATTTTATAAGGAAAACCATTTTCGTAGAATACATTAAAATCGCTAGCTACTCCGGTAGGACTTAATGAGTAATTGACAATTCCAAAATATTTGCAGTGGAGTTTGTTTTGTAAAAGTGACACTATTGTTCCGTGGCAATGTTTTTGTTGAATCACTTACAATTAATTAACTGTCAATTTTGATATAGTCTAAGTCTAGTAAAGATAAATATCGGAAAGGAATGGAACTTTCAGCTTGAGTTACAAAACGTCACCTTTCCAAGGCAAAATCCACTGCAAATGGAAGATATTGATAAAATAAAAAAATATATTATGATAAATTATCGAATAAATATACAGATTAGTAGAGTGGTATTCTAGATTTACAAAATAAGATAATCAGAAAACATTCTCTGCGTGCTGGATTGTTAGTAAACGCGTAAAAGACGAATAAAAATTTCGGCCGTAGCTTAAAATTTTGTTACGTCTCCATTCGTAGTGACAGATGTACTTTGAAATTGTTGTAGATCCTCGGAGAGTAATGCCCTCTACATTGTAACTATACATAGCGCGTCGTACACGCGGCCTAAACATTTACGCGTGACAATACCGATACTATATTTCACATTACATTTATATCACAATGATATCACATTTTTATAAAGCAGTTTAAATATTGTGGAGTTATTAACGCATTTGTGCCGTTAACTTGGTATACGTTTAAAGAGTTTGACATGATTCGTGTCAGTGACGTGGACACACACAGCCTAAACTGACGGCTAACAATACTGATTCGGACTGTCGCTGGTGACGCTATGCAGTCCCAAATGAAAATCGTACAAATGTATATAGCGTGAATCGCTGCTGAGCTCCTTGAATGATTACTTCCCAACTGTCTTCCCTTGTTCTAGTAAATTTTACACACACGTGTCCACGTCAGCATCCTCAATTATTTACTCAGGTAGTAAGCGTGGTTATTAGCTTAGGTGATTTTAGGCCAGTTTCACGGCACCACGACCGCGACGTCGTGTCGGCCTCGTCTGACGTACCGAGACGATGAAACGAACTGTTTTTTTTTTTTTCAATTATTATTTAATTAGCTTTGCTAGTGTGTTATGACACCTCAGTCAGTATAATATGGAGTTTAAGTTATGCCGTTGGTTACTATACGATGTCAGTGAATATGGATAAATTAATTTTTCAAATGTAATCCGTAATTAATGTTATGATTGGAAAACGTGATATGCTATTATATAAAAATATAACAAATTAGGATATGAATCGTATTGTTAGGCTCATATTCTATTGCTTGTCCTTGCGTACTATATACGGATCCCTAAAACCTGAATAAGATTTATGCTTTCTTATTCAAAGTGATAATAATGTAATATATTATTGTATCTCCCTTAGTCAACGTCATTACGAGACCGTACGACATGTTTCAGCACAATTCGCGAACACAGCACCTTCGTTTTGTCGTGATTAAAATGACAAGTCAACAATATACATTGCTTTCTATGTTTCTACATCCGCGTTGTCTGTACACACTAACACGCAATGCATATCGTTGAGATGTCAATGTCATATCGTAAGGTGTGCTGGGAACGTCGCATACAATAGGGATGATGACTTCAGTATGTTTTTTTTTTGTTATGAAGATTAATGGAATATGTGAGACAAGTATTTTTATTTTTGATGTTATCTTGTGACGTCACGAGTTGGGTTATGACGTATTTAGGCTTAGCCAGCCACTATCTAAGATAGTTGTGTAAAAATACTTGTCTAAAAGCATTTCCATTGTCTAACCAATGCACTACATAGGATTTCGTTTTTGTTTCTCGTGTCCCATCGTCATCCCTGTTATAACCATCTAGCAAAGCTCGCTTCATATAACTAATTATTCTAGTGTTAAATAAAAGAATACCGTTTTGATATCTAAGGCTGGTGATACATCTATTTATATTTTAGAAAAAAGTAAAAACAAAATATGTAAGGCTGTAATATAGATATAGCTGAGAGAAGCAACTCAACGCCCTATCATAGTGGTTTCTTTTATTTATTTATTTCTTTGTAATTTATGTAACAATTGCAGTGGCAGTTGTAGATGGAACAGTATGACGTCATTATACATTAGTTCATAGTGTTCCGGTATACAACTGTTGCTGAATATTAAGACTATTATGTCCTAGTGATTCCTTTGTGGTTCTCTAATTAGTTACAATTTAAATTAGTGCAATTTTGAAATTGCGTGCAATACGTGTTGGTGATGCGCGCCGACTGGCCTCTACCATTGATTGTGATGTATATTTGTGTAGCGAGCTGCCTCGTGGCGGCCGGTGTCTCGGCTCAGTCGGTTCGCGACGCGAATGCAGCAAAGGAGATCTATCGATAACAATTCACGATCTCTTTGCATTTACTTTATATGATTTATGAACATTAAAAACTATGGTTCGCTTGTAACTAATGTTTGTATAAAGGTGAATACCATATTTTGGTGTATTTTTTTTTCCTAGGAAAAGTCATTATTTATAAATAAAATGGTCTGTTTAAAGACTTGTAATAGAACTTGCGCACACAGTGCGATTTAGCGAATATATTTTTTTGTATAAAAAGATCACCTTTTTGCCTAGTTAAATAAATACTAACCTTTATGTTGAGTTTTTTTTTTGTTTTTCTACACTTGACCCCTCATTGTGCCAACTACTCGTCACAACAGACATCGCACGGCTCACTCCTACAGCACGGCGACACACGCTCATACGCTGCTGCCAACGCGTGCCCAACATCAACTATCCAGTCAGCGTGTACAAGTGTCGCAATCCGTCCTTTCCATCTCTGACTTATGAGTAGTCGTAAATACATATCACGTGCAACGTTATCCTGTTAGTGAAACCCACACTCTACTCTCCACTACATAAAGTTCCAAGTGTTTTAATACTCTAAGTGGAATCGAGTAATGCTCCTCACAATATGCAATTTATTACCACTCACATAGCTGTGCTTAGATATCATTTTAATTGTTTTCATTAAGCTTCACTATACATAGTACATTGAACCCACATACACTTGTACATGTTTTGTTTGTTGTTTATTTGACACAGTTGAGGTTTTGTTTAGTCATCAAGACACGTTGGGGCAGACGCTTGCGTCGCTCCGGACCAGCGCGGGGTTGAGTCTTTCAGTCGTAATGTTAGAGGATAGTGGGGGAACATTAGATTTAACACCCATGCTATTGTTCTTATACTTAAAATATTTACAGATGTATAACAATTGTTAAATAATAATAATCCCTTGTTTTTTCATGCTTGAAAAGCGTAGCTTGTATGTGTGAGTTGATCCACGTTATATTGTAGCGATGTGCTACAATAATGTTAAAGGTTTACGATTGTGGTGGGGGTTGAACCTAAAGTTTCCACTCTGTATTATTGAGGCTATACGCCCCGATAGTAAATGCATTGCTGCATTTGTTTAAGAATGCGTATATATTCACTTCCCTACATATATATCTTAAAAAGCGCGTCGATACAATGAGTCTGTAATTTTATATAAAATAAATGCCTAAACGTGTTATGTAATGTCTTCATGTTGCACGAATGTATACAGTGATATAATATACAATATGATAACGTTTACAATTACATACAATTAGTATTTTTATAGTTAAGTAATTTAATCGATCAAGTGGACGGAACGATACCTGTGCAGATTGATACAGATAGCACTGTCAAATTCATTGAACAGTGTTTCCTAGAAGTTGTGTCGTGCATTGTGAAGACATAGTAGTGGAGTTGGCTTAGAATTATAGTTCCCTAAATCGGAGATATGTACAAATATATGAATAATTTTGTATCGATACCGCTGCATGTATTGTAATCAGTACCTACTAGCGAAGGCAGGCGGGCGCGGGTCCAAGGCACCGGCGGGACTCGACTCCGCGATGCCAGTATAACCTCGTCGGCAACATGCATGCAAGATATCTGTGATAAACAACTAGTTGTTCACCTAAAGTTCTGCACTAATTCGACTAGGATTAGAT